ATATATATATATTAAAGTTTACATTTTTCATGAAAATGATTAGGAGAATGTTTACTTTAAATTGAGGAGTTGCAAACAAATTTGATCAGAAGCGGAACCTATTAAGAGAAAATACATTAAGTGAAATATGTTTAAGGCTAAGTTTTCTAAACGATAAAAAAATTTAGTTATCAGGGCAGAGCAGCACCCGTCAGTTTTTTAACTTCATTTAAAAAATATGAATCCTACTGAAATGGTGATGGTGTTAAGCTCAAATTGAATACTCATTACTTGTGCTGCTTTTAATAGAATGAGGTACTTTATTAGTAGTCAGTGTTAAAAACACACATACCTATCTATACCTTTGCAGTTTTGTGAGCATAAATTTTGACCTTTACATAGTAAACAAAACTAAATTGTCTTTTTTTTTGACAAAAAAAAAAGATTTATCCAAAATATAAACTTTGATGCATCATTCATTCATTAATAAAGTACTGTATATAAGCTCATTTGTAGTCTTTTTTTTTGTGTGTGTTTAAGGTATTTTAAAATATTGATGAAATAATTAGTCACTTTTTAATTTCTAGTTTTAAATTAGTGTAGAATCAGTGTTTTTAAATGTAATTTCATTGTGCTCTGTGCAATGACAATAAAGGCATCATCAATCAATGAACCAAAAATTAGTAAGAAAAATATGGATTTCTAAGGATGTTTATGGGTTTGGACTGGTTCTGTGTTTAGAGCTTGCTGCAACTTCAAAGACTAAACAAATAAAATAAAAATTATGTAAATGTATATGAAAAAAGGTTAGCATGGAAAATTCTGAATTGTTATAACTTTAGAGTGGCAATATCATGTAAAATGAACTTTTTTGAGCTTTGTAAAACAGGGATGCACAAAATAATTTTGGTCTTGTTCTCAGGGGTTGTTGCTTGGTCCTCACATTTTCCTTAAGTCATTTAACACATTTATCTAGAGGGGCRTCAGGGCAACTGTTTGATGACACCTATCAGCTGGCAACGTCTCAGGACATCATGCAGGCGTGTGCGTCATCATGCAGTCCACTGGG